TATGATCGGATAAAATTTAAGATGAACTACATTCTTTCTTTTTTTTTTACCAGTTCAAACATTTACAGCCAGGATACACCATTCTACTTCCACGGAGTCGAATCACTCTCGTGTCTCCCTTGTTGAAATGTTAGAAGAAAATTCCACTCAATCGTGAAACAGTGCTTCTCTGAACACACCGCTCTTAACTAAATAAAAGTAAGAGACAATATTTATATATGCTCCTTATCCTCATAATCTACACTTCTAATCATTAACTCTTTCATTCATAACACACGCCTCATTCATCATTTTCATTTTGACTGCAACTTTCTAGCTTGAGTAACTCTCGAGCCTTTCAGTAGGTGAAATTTAATATTCCTTTTATTTTTCTCTTTTATTTCCTTACATTTCTTTTACCTTATTTCCGGTTTACAAAACGCTGTGGCTTGGAAGAGGCACCCTAATATTGGAAATTTCTAAGAAAAAAAAGTCATTCTCATACAACAACACATTCACCATGCCTCCCACATATACTGGCGCCACGTATTGTTTTCATTAATCACTCGTCTGATTATATTTGTATGGCAATGACAACTAGTCAAGAGCAGAAAGGCTCCTGCCGCTGCTAGTAAACAGAGCATGTTTCAGATTGTGGCTCGGCTCCAGGAAGGTTTATAGTCTTGGAAATACTTGAAGCAGATAAGTACTGAGGTTACATCATATAAAAGGCTGAATTAGATAGATAGATAGATAGTGTAATGACTCAACATACAAATTCCCATCCCTATCAGTAAAGCCAGTTAGGTGACCGTTCAAGCTTACTTGAGCCCGGGCGTTGCATTACATTCGTCTTGTATGACGCACAAGTATTTTTCAGGGTATTTTTAGGGAAAAAAAGTGCGTCTTGTAAGGCGGAAATATAGATAGATAAATATGAACAGTCGCTGATAGATAGATAGATAGATAGATAGATAGATAGATAGATAGATAGATAGATAGATAGATAGATATGAACAGTCGCAGATAGTTATGAACAGTCGCTAACAGACAGATAGACACATCGACATGAACAGTCGCTAACAGACGAACAGATAGATAGATAGATAGATAGATAGATAGATAGATAGATAGATATGAACAGTCGCTGACAAGCAGATAGATTTAAATAGTCGCTGACACAGATAGATAGATAGATAGATAGATAGATAGATAGATAGATAGATAGATATGAACAGTCGCTAATAGACGAACAGATAGATAGATAGATAGATAGATAGATAGATAGATAGATAGATAGATAAAAAGATAGATAGATACCTTCTTTAGTTCCACCAGCTATGCAAGATTAACAATCTCACCAAATTCACAAAACGACGCTTTCATGCCTTAGGCTATTTGTTCAATAGGACATTTCTCTTGGGCTGTGCAGTGTGTAATTGGACTCAATAATTGAGAAGCAATAAAAAATAAGAATTAGACAAGATATCCCTAGATATGGGCATTAGAACGAGTACCCATTACCCCGTAGATTAAATAAAGTGTTCATTTCAGAATTCCCATGAAAGTTACCCGGATCGACGATGATGGCCGGAGGGCACAGCGGCTGAAACGTTGAGGTAACAACAACAAAGATGAGGACAGTAGTCAGCTTGTAAATAGTGTAAATAATGATAATTTCCTCGTCCTAAAAATTCAGGCAGTGGATGCCACGTCGAGGAACAGACACCCGCGAACCTCTTCATATCAAAGGAAAATTATTATTTCTCTTCTTTATCTTCATCCCACCCCTTCTTCAATTCATATCACTGACTTCATTGGTCATTACGATTTTAACAGTAATCCTCTACCGTGAGTGGCTCTCGAGCCTTGTATTCGTTGAATTCTATCATTTCTAAAAATTATATCTCATTTCTTCACTGAAGACTCTATTAGTTCTTAGATAGATAGATAGATACGAACTGTCGCTGACAAACAGATAGATAGATAGATAGATAGATAGATAGATAGATACGTACATTCGCTGACAAATAGATAAATACAGGTAGATAGATATGAACAGTCCTCTACCCTGAGTGGCTCTCGCGGCGTGTATTGGTTGAATTCTATCATTTAAAAAAAAGATCAATCATATCTCGTCTCTTCACTGAAGACTTTATTAGTGCTTAACTAGATACATATGAACTGTCGCTGATAGATAGATAGATAGATAGATAGATAGATAGATTCGCTGACAGATTACTAAATATAGGTAGATATAAACAGACCTCTATTATGAGTGGCTCTCGAGGCTTGTATTGGTTGAATTCTATCATTATCCAAAAAATTTCAATCTCTTCACTGAAGACTCTATTTGTGCTTAGATAGATATAAACTGTCGCTGATAGATAGATAGATAGATAGATAGATAGATAGATAGATATGTACACTCGCTGACAGATATATAAATACAGGTAGATAGATATGAACAGTCCTCTACCGTGAGTGGCTCTCGCGGCTTGTATTGGTTGAATTCTATCATTTTATAAAATTTCAGTCAGATTTCGTTTCTTCACTGAAGACTCTATTAGTGCTTAGATAGATAGATATGAACTGTCGCTGACAGATAGATAGATCGATAGATATTTATATTCACTGACAGATAGATAAATATACGTAGATATGAACAGTCCTCTACTGCGAGTGGCTCTCGAGGCTTTTATTGGTTGAATTCTATCATTTTATAAAAAGTTCAATAATATCTCATTTTTTTTTTTTTTTACTGAAGACTCTATTAGTGCTTAGAGGGATAGATATGAACTTTAGCTGCCAGATAGATACATAGATAGATAGATATGTACATTCGCTGACAGATAAATACAGGTAGATAGATAGGAACAGTCCTCTACCGTGAGTGCCTCTCAAGCCATGTATTGGTTGAATTTTATCATTTTAAAAAAAGTTCAATCATATCTCGTCTCTTCACTGAAGACTCTATTAGTGCTTGTTAGGTGACTGCTGCGCAAGTTGTTAACTTCTTCGTCTTTTGGGGACACCAATGTCTTCCTGTCGAAATGCCGGATATTTGAGCCCCCATTGAAATCCGCAAGCCGTCACAGCGAACCGGGACTGTTTTTCAAAGAGGCTTTCGGGTTCAGTGCGTTGACGCACATAAACGAAGCTGTAAATCAGAACGGTCGACAGATGGCATTCATCTGTGGCACCCCGTCCTGCCCTTCGACTCCGACGCCCTTGCCGCACGATGAATATTTCATATTTTGGAATATTGGAGCTTTTCAACCATGCAGGATTTATCGTCTGCTTATCGTGCGTTCGTTCGTTCATGTCTTTGTAAATTTCCAGCTTTGCTCGACATTGTCTCTCGCCGTTTTTTTCTCTCTCTCTCTTTCTTTCCCCCTCTTTCTCTTTCTCTCTCTCTCTCTCTCTCTCTCTCTCTTTTTCCATTCCACTAAGTTTCTGTCCCATCTGCCTGGATCATGTTCTTTCCAAATTCATATTAACTCTGTATACTTTTATTCTTATTTTCTTCTTGTATGCTTCCCTTTTCTTTCTAGCAATTACTGCTTTCTTTCTTTTTCCATTGTTTCCTTTTCCTTTCTTTTTTTCTTTTTCTTTCTTTATTTCTTTCTAGTTTATTGTCTGTTTTCTTTTTCTTTCTTTCTTTCTTTCTTTCTTCCTTTCTATCTATCTATCTTTCTTTCTTTGTTGTTCATTGTTTCTTTCTTTTTTTCACTGTTTCTTTGCCTTTCTTTTTCTTTTTCGTCCTTTATTTCTTTCTTGTTCATTGTTTCTTACATTCTCTTTCTTTCTTTTACTTCTATTTTTCTTTCTTTCTTTCTTTCTTCCTTCTTTTCCATTGTTTCTTTCTTTTTTCTTTTTTAATTTCTTTCTTTTTCTTTCTTTTGCTTTCATGATTTCATTTCTCTTTCTTTCTTGTTCATCGTTTCTTTCTTTCTTTCTTTCTTTCTTTCTTTCTTTCTTTCTGTACTTTATTTCCTTTTTTCTTTCTTTCTTTCTTTCTTGTTCATTGTTTATTTCCTTCTTTTACTTGCCTTCAATTTTCTTTCTTTCTTTTTCTTTCCCAATGTTTCTTTCTTTTTCCTTCTTTTTCTTTCTTAATTTCTTCCTTTTTTTCTTTCTTCTTCATTGTTGCTTTCTTCCTCTCTTTTCTTGGGGCTTTCTTTCTTTCTTGTTCATTGTTTATTTCCTTCTTTTACTTGCCTTCAATTTTCTTTCTTTCTTTTTCTTTCCCATTGTTTCTTTCTTTTTCTTTCTTAATTTCTTCCTTTTTTTCTTTCTTCTTCATTGTTTCTTTCTTCCTTTCTTTTCTTGGGGCTACTTAAGTATGTGATCTACCTGCCTTATTCTTCTAAAATATGTAATCTCCCTTAAAGAAAATTATCTACATGCGCAATTTTTCTTTCTTTCTTTCTTTCTTTCTTTCTTTCTTTCTTTCTTTTTCTTTCTTTCTTTCTTTCTTTCTTTTACTTCCTTCATTTTTTTCTTTTTTTACCATTGTTTCTTTATTCTTTCTTTTTTAATTTATTTCTTTTTTCTTTCTTTCTTTCTTTTCTCTTTCTTTCCTCTTCATTGTTCTTTTTTCTTTATTTTCTCGGTGCTACTTAAATATGTAATCTAAGTGCCTGATTCTTCTAAAATATGTGATCTCCCTTAAAGAAAAAGAGAGATGTCCCTATCGAAACATTTACAATGTCTTCCAGATTTCATTTGCTGGAAAATTATGCGATCCAAATTTATTTATTGCATTTCTGAATGATGTTCAAACTGTTTACAGAGAGTATTTGTGAAAATAATCATTTCCTTTAGAATTTTTTTTAGTCATATTTCATATTATTTAGTATATTATTATAGTACATTAAATAAAGACTATTTCTTTTCTTATTCCGTAAATACCTATTTTAAAGGTATATTTTAATGTAGAAAATTTTCTCAATAATTCTGATAGATCAGACTTAGAAGGTAGATTGCAAACTTAAGTAACACCAACAAAGAAAACCCTTTTCAATGAGAAACAACAATTTGGAACAACCTCAAGTAAATAATAAAGAGACACATGATGCCTTAGAGAAGAATTTCAGACTTAGGATGGAACAGATATTTACCATTTTGCCTCTTTGACTGGAAGTAGCTAAAAGGAAGAAACATGAAGTAGCTTCATTGGCCTGAAAATGTTACGTCGTAGCAAACTTGCAGAAAATTACAGGTAAACACAAGTATGGCGATTTTCTAAGCGTAGGTTAGATGTGTCACAAGGCCGAAAGTATGGGGTACCCAATGAGGATCGAAGTTACTACTCAGTCATTCGGGAGACACAAATTTGCTAACCATTACACGACGCCTAAGTTCCCCAAAACACATTCTTATCATATTTAATCTTATAAATTAGTATATTAAATAAAGACTACTTCTTTTTCTTATTATGTATATATCTATTTTTAATGTGGATTTTAATGTAGAGAATTTTATCAACTCGTTGCTCACATACTTTTGTGGTCCATTGTTCTGATTTAAGTCACACTCTGTATCTTTCTTTTTTCCTTTCTTTTTTCTTTCTTTTTCTTTCTTTCTTTCTTTTTCTTTCTTTCTTTCTTTCTTTCTTTTTCTTTCTTTCTTTCTTTCTTTCTTTCTTGTAAATGTATTCTTTTACCTTTTATTAATTTTCTGTCAACCTTTATATTTTCTTTCTGTTTACTTTCTCACTCTTCGTCTTTCATAGTTTTTTTTCCTGTTGCTATTTATATCCTTTTTTAAAGAAGTTTATTTTTTAATCTCTTTCTCTTTTCGTAATTTTCTTTCTTTAAGTTTTTAAAAGTTTTTTTACTTTTCATGTCTTTCTTTTTTTCTTTTTCTAGTTTCTTTTTTTCTAGTTTCATTTTTTAGTTTTCTAGTTTTATTTTTCTCTTTTTTTCATTTTTCTTTTTCTAGGTTCTTTTTCCTCTTATTTTTCTTGTTTCTTTTTTCCTCTTTTTTATTTTTCTCGTTTCATTTGTCTCTTTTTAGTTTTCTAGTTTCTTTTTTTCTTTTCTAGATACTTTATTCTCTTTTTTTCTTTTTGAAGTTTCTTTTTTCTAGCTTCCTTTTTCCCTTTTTTTTCTTTTCTAATTCATTTTGTTCTGTTTTTCCTTTTTCAAAGTGTTTTTTCCGCTTTTTTCTTTTCTAGTTTCTATCTTTCTTCTGTTTTCTTCCTTTTCTAGTTTTTTTTTCTCTTTTTTCCTTTTCTAGTTTCTTTTTTCTCTTTTTTCCTTTTCTAGTTTCTTTTTTCTCTTTTTTCCTTTTCTAGTTTCTTTTTTCTCTTTTTTCCTTTTCTAGTTTCTTTTTTCTCTTTTTTCCTTTTCTAGTTTCTTTTTTCTTTCTTTTTTTCTTTTTTCTCTTTTTTCCTTTTCTAGTTTCTTTTTTCTCTTTTTTCCTTTTCTAGTTTCTTTTTCTTTTTTCTTTTTTTTTTTCTTTTTCCTTTTTCTTTTTTCTCTTTTTTCCTTTTCTAGTTTCTTTTTTCTCTTTTTTCCTTTTCTAGTTTCTTTTTTCTGTTTCTTCTTTTTCTAGTTCCTTTTTTTCTTTTTTTCTTTTATAGTTTCTTCTTGTAGTTTTTCCTCTTTTTTCTTCTAGTTTATTTTTTTATCTTTTTTCTTTTTCATTTTCTTTTTTACTTGTAGTTTTTCTCTTTTTCTTTGTTTACTTCCTTTTTTCTCTTTTTCTTTTTCCAGTTTCTTTTTTCTCTTTATTTTTCTACTTTTTTTTTTCTATTTTTCCCTTTTGTGTTTGTTACTCTTTTTCTTTTCTAGTTTCTTTTTTCCTTTTTATCTTTTCTAGTTTCTTTTTCTCTTTTTGTTTTTTTTTCTTTTTTTTTCTAGTGTCTTTTTGCTTGTCTAGTTTCTTTTTCCATTTTTTCTTTTCTAGTTTCTTTTTTCTCTTTTTTCTACTTTCTTTTTCTCTGCTTAATTTTCTCTTTTTTCTTTTTCTATTTTCTTTTTTCTCTATTCTTTTTCTAATTCCTTTTTTTCTTTTCCAGTTTCTTTTTCTTTCTTCTTTTCTAGTTACATTTTTCTCTTTTTTAGATTCTTATTTCTCTTTTTCCCTTTCTAGTTTCTTTTTTCTCTTTTTTCTTTTCTAGTATCTTCTTTCCTTCTTCTTTTTTTTTCTAGTGTCTTCTTTCCTTTTTTCTTTTTCGAGTTTCCTTTTTCTCTTTTTTCATTTCCAATTTCTTTTCTCTCTTTTTTTCTTTTTCTACATTCTTTTCTCTCTTTTTTTCTTTTTCTACATTCTTTTCTCTCATTTTTCTTTTTCTACATTCTTTTTCTATTTTTACTTTTGTACTTTCTTTTATTTTCTTTTTCTAATTTCTCTTTGGCTTTTTTCTTTTCTAGTTTCTATCTTTTTCTTTTCTACTTTCTTTTTTCTCTTTTTCTTTTTCGAGTTTCCATTTTCTTTTTTTTCTTTTCTAGTTTTTCCTTCTCATTTTCTTTTCTAATTTCCTTTTTCTCTTTTTTTCTCGTTTCTTTTTCT